AGGTCCCAGCAGGGTAGTGTTCTTTATTTAGTAGTTCAGCAAAGCATATGGAAGAATTCTTGGCATAGTGTAAGGTGTTTAATATTATTATTCTGATTCACTTTTAAAGTGTACATTATGAAAGAGTATTAAATGTCAACTAACGCTCTTCGAATTCCACAAAAAGATTTTAGGCAGGAGTATGACGTATGATCCAATCTCCAGATTCACATTTTGTAAATATCTTCCAGCTGCTGCGTGGAAAAGAGAGTTGAGATGAGAAGCGGACAGAGGGTCAGCCTTGGCTCACCGGTGCCTACAGCTCATAGCTCAGGACACACAGTGCTCTGGTCTCTGGGTTGTGCACGGTCCAGCCCTTGCATTATTGGGTAGCCATGGGCGTCCCATGGAGAACTGAACCCCTGACTGGGCTAACAGAGGCTGATACATAGCTTAAGAAATCGGTCAAGGGGGCCAGGCTTTTTTTTTTTAATTAAAAAAACTTTTATTAGTACATGTTTGCAGTCCATAATGATTATGTGCCTCGTGGGGAGTTGGTACACAATACCTAGCACATATTAATTCCTCTTTTTAACCCTTTCCCCCATTTCTCTCTGAATTTTTTCCTGTGAGTGTTTGTAACGCGTAATGTTGACAATACTTGCGTGGGGTTGGTTCATGTGCATAGTACCTCCCAGTTCCTTTTTTTCATTTCTTATCCTTTCCTTCCCTCTTCCTTTCCCCTTCCCTCCATGTTTTCATTCCCTTGCCCTTGAGAAAGATTGATTTTCCTACTTCCTATTATCTATCTTTTATTTGCTTTTTTACTTTTACTCTGGGTTTCTCATGTAACAGAAACCATGCGATAGGTAAACCTGTGTTTGATTTCTTTCACTTAATATTATGGTCTCAAAATGCATCCATTTTCCTGCAAGTGACTCAGTTTATCCTTTATGGCAGAGTAGTGCTCTATTGTGTATAAATACCGCATTTTGTCTGTTGATCTGCTGGTGGATATATGGGGCGCTTCTAAGAGTTAGCTCTTATGTGCTTCTATAAATATGGGTGTGCATGTGTCTGTCATATGATGACTTTAAACTCTTTGGGGAAAGATACCTGGAAGGGGAATATCTGCTGGAGTGGAATTTCTAGTTTGAGTTTTTTGAGGAATTCCCTTTCTGATTTCCATAGTGGTTGTACTAGTTTATATTTCCACCCACAGTGTAGCAGGGTTCCTTGACCCTGGGACCCTGCAACCTCACCAGCATTTGTTATTACTTGATTTCGTGATGACGACCATTCTTTCTGGGGTGATGGGATCTCAGTGTTGTTTGGATTTGCATTTCTCTAATGGGCCAGGCTTTCGGAAATGCTCTTTGAAGCCATACCACCCGGTGTCTCCATGAGAGCCACTACTTCTGCCTCCATCAGAAAGCTGAGGAAGGAGGAAGCCGCCCTGTGTTGCCACAGTAGTCCTACCATCTCTTCCCAGCCTACCAACGAGACTGGATGTGTGAAGGGTGTCCAGAGAGGGAGGAAACGGATGCTCAGGCCTCAGCCGCCCTTATCTGCGAACACGTGACTGCCTCCCAGAGCGTGCCTCAGATTTTCCCTGCTTCTCTCTGGTACAATTGGAGTTGTGTCTAGATCCTTCTGTCCAGTTCCAAGAGATGCTCCCTCAGCCTGAAGATGCAGGTGAACATTCACCAGGGATTCACCTGTCATCCCGTCAGTCAATCCTAGCCGCATACCTTTGCGTAGTCTCAGAGGCTTAGCGTGTTCCTTTGTCAGATTACTGCTACTGATCTTGATTTTCCAGGGTTCTTGTGGATCAAGTTAAATGTGACAGCACCTGGAAGCATGACAGGATGTGTGACGCATACTAGACATTTAATAAATGAGGCAGCAGCCAATAAGTGGACATCATCCCACAGCTCGATAGGGAAAAGGGTGAGAGACAGAGACAAGTTGGAGCTCATGGTTGCAGAGATTTGGGACGATGGGTGACTGCGACCATGTACCAGCCACAGGGCCTTTGGGGAGTGCATGTGGCCCCATCTGTGTACATTTGTGTGCTATTTTAGTGGTTTCTTTGTGTTCTTTCATTGTTAATTAGTTTTTTAAATCAAAACTTTGTGCAAGTAAACAATGAAAAATTTCTCTTTCACCTTTACAACTACAAGCACAGGTATAGACTTTTTTTCCTCTGAAACAGTTGGGTCATATTGTTACATGTTTTGCATCTTTATTTTTTTGCTCACATCATTTGGAATACAATCCATTTTCATCATATAGGATTAACTACCTGTTGATGGCAGGTGGTCATTGATAGTCTTTTGCTTTTACCAAGTTGCTGTCACATCCATGAACGTACATAAAGACTCTTCCAAGGAATGCATGTTTAGTTGTAGGAAGGGTGACTCAGAGTGCAGTTTATAATTTTATTGATGTAATCAAATGTCTATTAAGATACTTGTCCCATATTATGCCTTTTTATCATTCTTTTTTTCCCCCCAGTGCTAAGGATCCAGCCCAGAGTCTTTGCACTAAACTACATCTCCACCTTCCCTTTTTTTTGAAATAGGGCCCCACTCACTAAGTTACTCAGTTGGGCTCGAAATGTCAGTCTTCCTACCTGAGCCTCTCAGAATGCTGAAATTACAGGTGTACACCACCACACCCAACTTTTACCAGTCTTGTGTGCATGGGTTTTTTTGCATACATCAGGCCCTATCATGTTTTATCGACCCTTTTGATTTTTGCCAGTGAGATTGGGGAAGTGAGAGATTTTACCTGTGTAGAGCAAGAGAAATCTTGAGCAAGTTGTGCAAGTGGAAGATTAATCAGAAGATAAGAAGTGTGAGAGGCAGGGTTAAATTTAAATGTAGGAAGAAAACTCAAACCTGCTGTTGCTTACTGTATGCTGGGTGCTGACTTCACCAGCCTGTTCACATGTGATTACATTCAGACCTCATAACAACACTAACCCATAAACACCAGTGTCCTCCTTTGCTCTGACACCCACTCTGGCCACTACATCTCCTGTGTCCTTCTCACTTTACCATTGAGAAAACCAAAACCAAAGAGGCTAAATGATTTATCAGAAGTCCCAAATCAAGTCAGGATGAAGCTTCCTTTTTCAGGCTCTTTATATGTTGCCTTAGACTGGGATTTCAGTCTGTTCCCATGGGGCCACACAAGATCTGAATAGGCACAGTCCGAGTTTAATAGTTGAGTTGAATTCATTTTCGTAAGATCAAAGAGGTTCTTGTGGAGTTCAGCAGTCAGAACGTTAACCACAGTGGCATTTTTCACATTGGTGATGATCAATTTTCTGCGCAGTTCTTCCTCGGAGAGTCTATGTTCCATTCCAGAACTGTTATATTTACCCAAGGAACACTTGACAAAAACTGCATGATATGAAAACTCTAACCCTTTTGGGGTTTTAAGGCATTCTTGTAAAAGGTTATGCAGCCACACCCCAGTTCTACCCTTAGCCCTGTGGAACCTGAAAATTGGCTAGTAAGTCCCGCCCTGATCCTCCCGGAGGAGGCTGAGGCCGGCACTTCTGTCCTCTTCCTCATTGTTTGCTGCTCCCTCAGAACCCGCGATTACCGAGATTAGAGGTTTCAGACGGGATTTTTCCACCCTTGTTCCTCACCTGTTTTCAGAGTCCAGGATTTCTGTGTAGGTCAGGGTATTTTTCACTCAAATCCAAAATGTAGAACTTCAGATTCTCTCAGATTTTAGTGATGATCCAACATTCAATCGTGGCCTAAAGTGCCAGTGAAGAGATGATTTATAAGTGGCACAAATATTGGATGAGATGATAGTTGACAATGTGATGAAAAGGAGAGAATTAGAAATAAACCTTCCATCTGGAAAAAATGAACCTGATCCAATAATTTTTTTCCCTTTAATTTAGAAAGCCCAACTTTGGAATTGCACCAACTGGAAAACATCCTCATGATGGTCACTCATTCATGGCAGAGCAATGAGGGTTTTTGGAGAATCAACTGTTTGTTATTCCCAAAGCAAGTACAGACTCAGTGTCAAAGAATGGAGTAGGAATGCTGCAGTGGTCTTAGAGATTAACTGGCCCAGAGTCCAGTTTTATAGGACAGGAAACAGGGCTAGTACATGTGCTGTGTAGCTCTGGTTGGAAGCAGAAGCAAGCTCTCCTGTCTTCATTGCATGGTTCACTTTTCATTCTGTGATCCATATTTTGTAATCTACTGAGAGAATATGGTCCTTTATGAGATTTCGTTCGTTTAGTTTTTCAAGGTGGGCTGAGATTTATTTTCCAAACCATCCTAAACAGACCTATTTTTAACTAAGAAAGAAAGGGAATGAATGAGAAGACTAAAATGTTAAAGGGAAGGATAAGGTAAAGCAATCAAATGATTTTTACACAGGATGCTGAGTTGATAGATGTGTTTTGTTTAGAAATTGCCACTCCACTTTTTATTTTTGCAATAAGTGAAGAAAGGCTGTGCACTTATACCATCTATTAAAGTCAGTAAACTAAGTAGTGTTATCTTTGTGAATGATCAACTGTGTAAGAAGTGTTTCAAATTAACTATATAAATAATCTAACAAGGTCCTTCCTTGCATACTTTTTTTTCAGAACAAACGAAGTGAAATTTTTTTTTATAATCACATAACTATTTGATTTATTTTTCCTCCTTCCCACATTTGGATATACGTTGATATAGAAGTACTTAAAATGCTGCATATAAATTAAACATTAAAAGGGAGATATAGAGAGGCTAAGCTGCCCCATTATAATCTTTGGTTGCTGCAGTCACCGCCTCAAGGACACTCCATTTCATATCACATGTCCTTCTTTTGAGAAGTGATCGCCAAGGTTCAAGTAACATTTAAGCACAGCGGGTGCCTGCATAATTTATGGACCTCTTTTGTTTTGTGTTCTTCTTTTAATGAAAAACAGAAAAATGCAAGACTATTTTCAGATGTTCACGTCTTTCTTTTGTCTTTTCCCTCCCCTCTTGCCTTCACAGATAGGGGCCCTGAAGGACTACTACCACTTCTACCACAGCAGGACGATCAAAAGGTCAGCGCTGTCCAGCAGAGGAACCCACAGTTTCATTTCCATGGAACCAAAGGTAAGAAGAACCAGTTGGGTGGAGCTCAAGAAACACAGCTTCTGCATTTTTCATTGGCGATAACGCGCTAAGAGCGGATGAGCAACGTGATGCTCAGGTGGCTAGAACTGTCATATTATCCATAGGTCCAGTGTATGTACTTCTTTCTCAGAAAAAAAACAAAAAGCAGTGGCTTGATTTTTTTTTTTACTGGTCTACCACTATCGTCTCAGTTGTATAGCAGCCCAGAGATAGCTGTAGGTGCAGGTTACCTATTTGCACATAGTTCTATGAGCTCTGGAGAAGGAGACTTTCTTCTAGAACCCTTCAGTCAGGCTTTGGTTGACCATGAATCCTCATGGCCCTACATTGCATTGCTGGAGACCCCAGGACTAGACCATGTCTAAGACGGGGAACAGGTAAGGGGTAGAAGGCAGCTTCTACTCTTGGAGGCTCCTCCAGGACCTTTCCTGAAGTAAGTCCTCTTAGGTTGCATAGATCATACTCGCCTGGGAGAGCTTAAAAGGAAATATGCATGACAGGTATAGGCACTCCCATTTGAGCAAGATTGGACCGCGGTGACCCGAGAGATGGGAGCTGAGGACAATTAGGGGCAAACTACTAATAGCAGACAGCACAGAATTGAAAGTTGAGTTAAATATCGGTCTTTGTTAATTAAGAAGGACCAAAGGATTGATTTGTAATGGAAATCTAATTGGTCTTTCAGATGTGGCAAGACGAAAAGAGGCCGCTGGGCCAACTTGCCCCGGTTCCTCTGTGTGCCCATGGTGTATTCCTTATTGATTAGAGTATTTTGCCCTCTCACCCATTGTGATTCGGGTTTGCCAGAGGAGCTCATTTTCAATAAATTGGTAAACAAATCCAAACCAGCGTAACAACCTCAGCTAGTAATTCCTCAAAAATTGTATTCCTTAGGCTCCTATTTGAATTACTATGCAAATAGAGTTTGCAGTTTGTATTCTCACCCTTTGTGCCATGGTTTACTTTGTTTACTTTTTCTGTGGAATATTATGACACAGTGCTCGTGATTGTGAAATTGTGTCTTGGTGGTTAGAAAGAGCACATTTCTTTTAGGTCCAAGTGTTCTGTGGGTGCCAGAGACCATCTCTTGGTACTTCCACTTCAGTGGCCTATAGATTGTATTATTTTTTTTGTCCTTGATCGTGATTCAGAATTTATTTTTTCTGGGAAAATTACGTGTTGGAACGGTCTTGAATTACCTACATTTTCAATGCAAAGCCACATTTTTCATCTGCTGAACAACTGTCGTGAACTTTGGTAATTAAAATGATTTTGACTTCCAACTTCATGTGCAAAGGCAATGTGAAATTGAAAGAATGAAGCACTTGCTGCTTTGGAAGTGAGAACAGAACGTAATGCGACATTTTCCTGGTGAAGAATTGACAGAATGTGGAACTATTTCAATTCTCATTGTTATCCTGGGAACCTTGCTTTTCATTTCTTCTTATCTCAGTGCATGAAATAGCTAGTGCACAAGCCAACAGGGACCTTGACCTTGGACCCTGGGATGCATAGTACTTGGCAGGAACACCCCTCTTTTCTCAGTCCAGAGGCACAGAGTCATTTTAGGCCAGCACAGGGGCACATGCTCTATTTCCCTTCCTCTTGAGTGAAAAACGGACCTGTGTTGGGACATAGCATACCCTTTATCCTGGAGCCTTCTGCCCACTGTTTCACTCACTCAGGGCTACACGCTATCAGCCTTGCCACAGATGGGGTCTGCCCACAGTTTCTTTTAGGTACTTATAGTCTATTGGTTCATGGGCCATTCTTGAGTCCCAGGTGTCTGCCAGGCCCTATACTAGGCTCTGGGGATTAATAGGCATAGTGTTTCTTTAAGGGGATCACTGTTGGAGTCTCACACCACAGTTTTCAGGAAAACTCAGGACATTGTGATACTTCGCAATCCTAGGGATGAGTGGAGTAGAGAAGACCAGACGCCCTACATTGTTCCTTTTCCAGTGTCCTCCTCACAAAGCTTAGACTGACTTAGCTTAGTTTTTCTTTTTAAAATAATTTTTAAAAACCTTATTTACACAGAATTTGCAATAACGTGAGAAAGAATTCCTAAATACTTTTCCAAGATTCCTCAAATATGTTCTACATCTTGCCTCACTCACTTGATCTCTTCTTCTCTACCTGTCTACACATACATGCACATACCCAGACACATGCTCACACTCACGTTCACATGTGTATATGTTTTCTCAACATTTGGGAGCAAGTTATAGGCATAATGCTTCTTCAACTATAAATGCTTCCCTGTGTGTTTATTAAAGACAGAGCCATTCTCCTTCATAATCTGAAGTGCATTTCTAACAATCTGGATACTAACATTGATTTGATATTGTCATTAATTTAGAGGCTTTTCATGGTTTTCAGTAGTGTTTTCTCTGGGCCCGGATCAAAATGTTGTTGTCATGTTTCCCAGTGCTGGTTACTCTATCATTCTTCCTTCAGATTTGTCTTTTCCTTGAAGGAGTGTGTCTTAGTTATTTTTCTCATTGCTGAGACAAAAGACCCAACACCCAAAGTTAAAAGTGGAAAGGTTTATTTGGCTTACAGTTCATAGAGGTTTCAGTCTTAAATTGGCTGGCTCCAGCGTGGGGTGTCAGAGGAGAAACAGTTCATGGCTGTGGAAGACAGCAAAAATCAACAAGAAATCTTAACAGTCTTCCCCTGCCCCCTTTGTCATATTCAGACTATCTAGAGCAAGCAGCACTCACACCCTCAGTTCTAGTGCCCTTGGGCCTAGCATTGCACTGTGAATCAATCATACACTCTAGATTCACTCGCCTCCAAAATAGCCTATGACCGCATGAAGCTTTGGGGGAACATCTAGTCACAAACAGTAACAAGGAGTTAGAAATATTTCAAAAAATACGAGACCAGTCACTTTGTAGACTATGTTTCAAATTGAGTTTATCTGTTTTCTCCCAGTTAGATCTACATTCGCTAAGAACACTTTTGGCAAGAACACCAAAGAACGGAGGTCCTCCTCTTGGTGTCACGTGGATGGCACAGGTTGTTGGTTTTAACTTTGATCGCAAGGTTAGGATGGTGGCTTCAGCTTTCTCTTCTTTAAAATTACTGTTTTCCTCTTTTTAATGACTTTCTATGACCCACATGGTGTAGGGTCTGAAGCTAGGGAGAGCAGTGGGAGATGAAGAAAAATGAAAACACCAGGATTATGCTTGAAAGCTGGGACCAGGTGGAGCCATAGCCTGTCGGGGAGCTAATGACTGCTGCAGCCCAGGGCATTCTTTATTCATAGTATAAGATGAACAGGAAGATAAGGCAGGGTAAATAGTTCTGCGTGGCCTAGGCGGAACGTAGTGTGACTGTTTTGTGACTGGGGAATGCACAGAAAGGGAACAAGAAAGCACACGTAATCTGTCTCTTGGGGCTGTGCCTTCCAGGGCCTACAATCTCAGTCAAACAGACACAGTCTTTGACTAGTCTATGGAGGAGAAAGGGAGTAGGGTGGAAGTGAGGGGCCATTCTCCCTAGCCCCACAGCAGTAACTGATGATATAAAAGCATTTTGTGGGAGATACTTAAAGACTCTGTGTACAAGTCCATGTTTGATTGCTGCAAAGAAATACCTGAAGGCCTAAAGTATGGACAGCAGAATACCAGCTCTAGTGTGAGCTTCCCTGATTGTGTCAGCCCGTGGAAGACGGCATCACGGTGGGCCCGTATGGGAGACAGAGATAGCACATGGCAAAGTGGAAATCAGAAACCGGGGCAGTCCTACATTTTTATAAAAAATCTTCTCCAGTGGGAACTGTCCTGGGTCTTTCGATAACTACCTTACTCTCCTGAAGACAGTACCCCAGTGACCTTGTGACTGACCTCCACTAGACCCCACTCCTTAGAGGTTCCAGTACCTCTTAATAGCCCCACCCTGGAACACGTGAACTCTTGTGGACAAATTGCATCCAAGCCATAGCACTATGTAAATTTCCACAAGCTTATTTCATTCCGAGTTAACCTCATTGAGAATATGCAGCAAGTGCTGGTGTGGTTTGCATTCCTGGGCATGTCTCTTTTACTTTAATCTTGGGTGTGTGTGGTGGGTGATGTATGTGCCAGAGTAGAGGCACTTTTGTGGGTTGGGACCATGTGAAATGGCTTTGTGGAAAACACTGGTGATGTGACCTTGAAATTATTTTTTACCACCACCTTCTCAAAAAAGGAAAGCAGACGGGTGAATTGCAGGGAATGCAGTCACTAAACGGATCCTGGCTTTTATATACTCTACTAAATTACATGGCTACTTTTTTTCCTTGCTTTTGATTTTACATAGAGAGTTCCAAAGAAAGAAATGAAGAAGTAGCAGCAGCAACATCACCAGAACAACCCTCTTGATGCTAAGTGCTGTGGTCATTTGGGCACATGAGCCCAGAGCACTAGAATAGCCTTGATGTCCATTATGTTGTGATTAACATTTTAAATGACAGGGATTCACAGACCTCTGAGATGGCAACACTAGTACAGTAATGACAGGTTTTTTGTTTGTTTGTTTTTGGTACTGGGGATCGAACTCAGGACCTTGCACTTACAAGGCAGGTGGAAGCACTGCTGAGCTAAATTCCCAGCCCAATGACAGTTTTACAAAGAGTGTTGCTGCAATTTACAGTAGCTGAGCCAATAAAATTTCTGTGCTTCCGGTCCATCTCTTTCTTTTCTCCTGACTAGCTTCTCTCCAAGAGATCAAAGCAAAATTAGTTCATATTCTGAAAGCCTCAGACATTTTGGTTGCAGACAATTCCCCAAATCTAGGACAACATCACCCTGTGCTATGATTCAGGGGACTTTCTTTGTAATTCATCCTAGGCCAGCCTGTTTTGTCGTAGGGATAAATCCAGCTGTATATCTCACTTATGGAAAAGCTACTCATGAAGTAATACTGTCCTTAGGATTAAAGTTGGTGTAGCCTTACCTCTTCCCTAGCCAACATTGGTAGTCTCCTTCATC